TTGGATCCATGCTCGTTGCAGGTATACAACCAGATACCGTATCATTTTTCACAAAGAATGTATTTGGAGCACAACTTTGTTCAATTGCAGTATTGGTACCAGGTAAACAGAAGTAAAATTTTGTGCCATCTTCTGAGCCCCACAATTCATTTTCATACAAACAACCTTCAACCTGAGCTTGAGCATCAACATAAATCACTGCAGCCGCACAGAGAGCTAATAATCCAGCCACAATAACAGTATCTAAAAAATTATATCAAAATTATTACACATATGAGTAACTGACTCGACATCTTTTTAAAAAGCACCTTTAATCATTTTGTTGATAGTTTTTTTGAATATAATTCCGATTTGTTTTAAGCACTCACGTTTTCACTGATATTCCACAAAAGACTAATTAAAATTTTCGAATAGCTTGACTTTATAAAAATCTAGTTTAGTCCATATCACGACACCGAGCCAATTGGCATGGCTTATCTGAATTTTAGTCAAAGTTTTGATTTATTTTTTGTTTTATTTTAAATGACAAAATTGATAAAGTTGACAATTCGAAAAGCATTTAATCTTAAATTTAGTGCTTATTACCATTTTTTTGATTGCCATTAAAATTTAACATTAATGTTGGGCACGATTTGATAAGCTCTGATAAAACAATTTGTATACAAAATAATTTCCTCTTTACGACTTTTAAGTTCCAACGAAATGTCGATAGAACCTCGAGTAAACATATTTGAGTATTGAATTTTTAACTATGTTAATAACAGCAATATACTAACCCATGATTCATTACTTCAGTGTCGTTCCATAAAACAAAAACTAGTTCATTGATTTAAAAATTGAGTTATCTTTTGACTTTGCTTCACATTCTGCGTAGAAAGTGTTTGGAATTATTAAAAAAAATGCAAAAAAATATAACCAATTAACAATTATTTTGAGGCTTTTAAAGTGGATTCTATCGAGTGCAATACAATTATTTTGACCTAGTCCTGTGAAACTTTTTGTAGATTGATTTAACCCTCTAATGCCCAGCCCCACCTCAAGGTGAACTTTGTAGAAATGGCTATCAAAAGTTTATTTGGTAATGTTTTTAATATTTTTTTTTAATGTCCGGAGCTAGATGAAGGGTCATATCTCGTTGCAAAATTCAAAATATTGCAATACTCTGGTCCTGTTCATATTTATAACTGTGTAAGTTAAAAATTTACTGCATTTAGAGCAAAATAAATATTTTTGTAAGTAAAAATCAAGGTATTGCAAGGTTAAATATTATTCAATTTCTATCATGAGCATTCTTTTATAACCACTATTGACTATGCTGTGCTACCTATCCTCGAATAGCTAGGTTTAGGTTTAGCAAACAAAAAAAAAACCACACGTGGTCATGACAGGTCAGTAGAGAGCTTCGTCAATCAATGCCTGGAAAAATGTGAAATTTCTTAGCACCATTTTCAAATTATAAATTTTAGTTACTCTTCACATAGAGCTTTACTTTCAAAATATAGTTTTAAAGTAACTTTGATTTCGGCGAGATTTTAATACCTTTTACACATATAACTACGTCACAAATGAATTATTTTTAATTTATATAAAATGTATATTGCAAAAATGTATGTGTAAAATGTATTTGACTAACGGGTAGTCAAATTCAAAGAACTTATGTACCTTTTATATCTTTATTTTTGACACTTATGTATATCGATAAGAGTTACCATAAAATTCAACAAATGAATAAATTGCTATGTCTGGATTAACAAAGTCTCTTTACAAAGTTTATTATTCACAAACCCACAGACTCACACACCCATATACACTATATTTCTATCAAAATAATAAAACGATACGAGTCTTCTTATTTTATGAAAGGAGCTCATAAAAAAAATTTCAGCCAAATCGGAAATCATGAGGTTAAAGAGGTGTTCGATTTGTAAAAGAATAACCAATATAGTTTATACGCATTTTAAACTTTTGAAGATGTGGAGTGGTAAAAAAAAGTTATCTTTATAAATATACTTCTGAAACCCATTATTTAGTAGGAAGAAATTTTAAAAATAAAATGAAAAAAAAAAGATTATATATGGTTTAAAGTGATGTTTGAGATCTCGAAAGATATTAGTAATATATGCATAAAAAAAAAATATTAAAAAATAAATAAAAACTAATCATAAAATAAGAAAATAAAACGAGATAACAGAAAAAAATCAGATAAATAAAATAGCAGAATAGATGATAAGGCAATATAGCAAGTATTGTAAGCATGAATATCTCATATCGAAACCTTGTCTGACTTGTATAATACGAGTAGTTTATTTAAAGTTGCCAAAAAAATTTATTATTATTTATAGTTTTATTAGAACTCCTCTAGAATATTCGAATTATTGAATTATTTTATAATAAAGTAGACCTGGTATTTAATACATTTAAACATGTTATTAAATCCAATCCATTCTATAGATGTTGTTACTGTCCCGGTCTTAGAAGTGCATATAATGATTAACAAGTAGTTTTAGAATGTTATTTACTTACTTTTTATGCCTTTCTTGCACATATTGAAACTAAGATGAAAGTTTACCATATTTTAGATTTTGTTGACGAGTAGCTACAGAATATAGGCTCAGCACTTTTGAAATCCTTTCTGCAATAATGTAACTGCCGATACAAACCAAAAAAGTTAGATTTACCAATAATTTTGCTAAATCCTGATAAATAAAACTAACATTTGCAGGTATTATTCAATTAGTTTCTACAAAAAACTCTCAAAATAATTACAGTAATAAATAAGATCTTTGAATTATCAATATCAGGGCTTACTGTGACCTACATTAAGACTGAAAAGTTTTCGGAAATTCTCATTTAAAATTCGCGCGCTGTATATTTTTCGATATTTTAAGTTTATGTAGTTTGGCAGCACTGTCCTTAATTACTATGCCAAAAATGAGCTCGATCTGTCAGACAGTTCGTTTACGGCAGCTGTTGAAACCAGTTCACCTCAGTAGTGCGTTGCGAAATGTCTTCGACGGTCGTACGACCGTCCTGGAAGGCTTTGTACCACTCATAAACTTGAGTTTTCGATAAAACTGATTCCCCATAAGCCTTTTGTAGCATTCGCAACGATTCTGCACACGAAATTTCGTTCGAAACACAAAATTTGATGCAAACTCTTTGTTCAATATTTTTTTCCATTGTTTTTTTCGCAACGCCCTACTGAGGTGAACTGGTTTCAACAGCTGCCGTAAACGAACTGTCTGACAGATCGCGCTCATTTTTGGCATAGTAATTAAGGACAGTGCTGCCAAACTACATAAACTTAAAATATCGGAAAATATACAGCGCGCGAATTTTAAATGAGAATTTCCGAAACTTTTCGGTCTTAATGTATACAGTTTTCAGTGAACTTTAGCAAGAATTTACTCTCTTTAACGTTTTCTCTGCGCGATGAGTTGTTAATCACAGTCGCTTATGAACAATTTAAATAAATGTTTTTTTTTTGACAATAATATATTTTTTTCAGAGTTTTCTCTAATAATAATCATCTAATCTAATAAACAGAAGAATTCCAGAATAAGTTGGCAGGGGCACATCCAGGGCGGGTTTAGTGAATAGATTTCCTTCTTGATAATATAATCTGCAAATAATGCACTGCAAACTATTACTAAAAAATATTTTATATTAATTACCCACCTTGGCATAATTGTAGCTATTGTAGCTGAAAGTTGTCTATTTTCTTCTGAGGATAGAAGAGTGTTATTTTCCAGCTAATTTCTGCTAGACTGCGTTGATATAATCCAGAATACTGCATTTTTATGTTTTCATAAATTTGCCTTATATCGGCACATTAATATACCGAGTCGCTTGTTTCAAACCTAACGTCTGCTTGTCGCTTATATTGAAGTGTAAACACCAAGTTAATTGTGATATTGAAATCCGAGTATGCGGATTGATTTTAATATGTTTCCCTAGGTTATACATATTACCTAGTTGCACGGCGATAATGCGAGAGTAGGAATTGTGATTCTTGTACAATAACTGCTATGGTAAATCACGTTGTCTGTTTATATAGTACATCTTTTACATTAATTACATTATTTAATAAGTAATTGCAAATTCAACATTTATTTAAAATGAAGACTGCACTTACAAATAATAAGCCTTAATTACTATTAGGAAGAATCTCTCTTCTTAGATTACCTTTTTCTTTGTAAATATTTAATACTAATATTTTAATTCTATGTAATGATCTTAACATTAGTTTAATTATTTTAAGACCAATTAAGCATTACATTAAATTTAAGTGTATTTATACTTAAATCTCAGTAAAACTCATGCGGAATGCAATTGACTTCCGTAATCACTTCCGGACTTAAAATTTGACAAATCCGATTTGTGTATGTTAAAATCTGTTTACTTGTTCCTAAGGCATCCACAAGATTGAAATGGCAAACATCAAAGCATTCGACAAGTAACACCAACAATCTAAACACAAACCATTGCAAATATTTGCACAACAGATATCGAAAAATTATTGTTTCCTCGTGCCATTTAAAACGTTTACACTGATACTCTAGTCTCAAAATTTATCTAAACAAATAACTTTTTCATTATTTTTAGATTTGATATAATTTATAAAAGTTGAAAACAATATAAATTTATTAAAAATAACTTATTAAATCTGAATCACAAAATGATAATACTTTTATTGCTATCTTAACAGATAAGAAGACAATATATCTTTACTTCAATGACGTCATTACGAATTTTTATTTGTCTAAAAATATAAAAAAAATCACCAATCTATTTTACGATGTGCCTAAAGAACTCTATAAATTAAAAGAAAAATGCGCAAATCAATCAGTCGTGAAATAATTTAATTAATTGATTGATACGCTGTCGTGAAAAAGGTTGATACCAATATAAAAAAGAAGAATATATGACAAAGGATCAAACTTCAGAACTCATATAAAAATAAGGCGCAAAATTGAAAAATCTATTGGAAGCAGAATAAAATGAAAATTATTTATTACAACACCTTCGTCGTTTTGGTTATCATTTTGAAAACAGTCAATACCAATTGTACGGGTACAATTAACGTACCTTGTAAGCACCCCACTGGTATGTGGGGTGATGTGAACCCGAACATTTATTATATATGTGATGCGCTAACGAACACGGCCATACAAATGCGCTGTCCTGAGGGACGCGGCTTTTTTAACGGATTTGGCTATTATGGTTGCATACCATTTGAACAGTGGCCAGCTTGTATATCCGCTGTAACCTATGTGGAGGCTTGTGACAAGGACCATATGAGTGAACCATGGAATACGGTGAATCCGAATGAATTTTACATGTGCTTGGCCGACAAACAAAAACCATTATTGTTGAATTGTGAGCCAGGCAGAGGGTTTGTTAATGCGGCGATGGAGGCTGGTGATAACAAAGTTTTGGGTTGTGCCACATGGGAAAAATGGCGCGAGTATATGCGATGTCTGAATTTTTATTAAATGTATAGAGTATTCTGTAGTATTTGTATGTACCCCGTGACATGTACGAATTTTCATGAACATCAATTAAAAGACGGAAGCAAAATTGTGATTCAATTCCAAATGCAATTTATTGCACTCGAAATATTATTTTTTGAATTTTTTAGATTTTTTTTGCTTTACACCATGATCTCATTGTAAATATAAAAACTGAAATTGAAAATAAAATTTATTTATTAAAAATAATATTTCGGTGATTTATCTTTTGTGTTTTCAGATAAATTGATTAGATATTGTGGAAGGCTTAGCAATAATATGAGCAATATTAACTATTTGAAAAATGCCTATTAAGTGAGATGATGTAATTGTGATATATATTTTTAAAATATTTACGCAATTGTGATAAGCACGTCGTCTCGTATTATATTTTTTTTAAAATTTTTACAATACTGGAAAAATTAAATAATTCACATTGAAAAATTTAAAATATGAAAATTCAATTTCATTCCTATTTAATCTATATAGACGGTTTCTATTGTTAATCAAGCGTAGTCGTTTATATTGTCTGTCACTTATATCATTGATTCCTTTATATATCATTAGTATTGTTAGATCACGTTGTAATATCGCCTTGCTAATAAACTATGGAGCATTTGCACAGGTGAGCAATACTTTTGACTATAACACATATAGGATCTCTAGGCTCTGAAGATCTGGAACAACTTTGAAGGTCTGTGTAAATGAAACTAGTAAGTTAATGAACAATAGCATTAGAAACTTAATTACTTTAGTTTTGTCAATGTACTTTTTATGTATTTTTTAAGAAAAATACACTGAAAAAAATTAAATAAAATCAAGGGAATATATTCATTGTAAATGTATTTTTACAGGCAAGTAAATTGCATACCAAAATGGTAAATGTGTTCATAGAATCAGAAATTACAAAACCGATGTTTTGCAAGTAGGCTGGTTGGTTTGAAGATAAATATCCAAAAACTGCATTAACAAAAAAATTGCACAAAAAATCAGTTCATGGTTTTGGAAGATCAGTGTTTGAATTAGAGATATACAGCTCTAGAATTTCATTAGGCACAATAAGCGATACTATAAGTCCAGTTTCAGCTAACAAACAGCTATGCTAACAATGGATTATAATGGATCATATATTTCAGGAGGGTCAGGAGGGCCTTAAAAAGTATAAATATATCTGTTATATCATATATAATATATATATCACAAATCTATTGATTCTATTGAAGTAACCATTAAATCATCAAAAAATACCTGGAAAAAAATCAATGCTTCTGCTTTTTCATCACTTCTCGAAAAACCAGTCATATAATTCGTTGCGAAGATATAGTTGCTTATCGTAGAGGGTATATTTCAATTCAATGATGGGTTCTATAAGCAAAAAAATTTTTGGAATAAGTACAGTTCAGAAAGATTATGCGAAAAAATACTAACTATAGTTTACAGTCTAACTTATAGAACAACGTAATTCCACTCATTGTTATACTATGTTCAAACTCCCCATAATTTCGCAAAGACCTTAATTTCATCTTCGTTTCAGCGAAATCAAGTAGTTTTTTTTCATATAAAATTCAGTTTTAAGATTAAAACGAAATTAAGGAAAATGCCCTTAATTTCATTGAAACGAAGGCTGAAATTAAGGGACATTTCAAATGCAACTATGCGTAAGATAAATTTTAAACAAAAGATAAAGTTGAGATAACGAAAAACTGACATTTTTTTTTAATAAATGTCAATGACTTTTGATTTTAATAAAACCGGGAAAATATTTTAAAAGTAGTGCAAATTTTTAAATTTGAATGTAGAGAAAAAACTGTAGCTGTTATTAATTTAAAATAGAGTAAAAAATAATAACTCATATACCTGAAATCCAATAAAGCTATTAAAATTACTGACTGCCACCCTTTATAGTTATAATAATCAACTTTTAAAATTTCCCAGATACAAATGATGTTTGGAGCATATAATTTTTAATACGCGATTTGTAAACAAACAACATACGATTTCCTTAATTTAGGGCAGTATGAACACTTTCGAAATTAAGTTAATTTCATTTTTACGAAATTAAGAAAATTTGGCTGTGTGAATATAGTATTATACACAAATAATAAATATAAATAATTATACAATTATTGGAGTCTTTTTTAAAATCATATTATATATTATCATACAATTGTGAATACAACGAGGCTACCTTAGATCTCTGCACAATTTCTCAGTTAATTAGTGAATACTGGTTTTCCTTGATGTTAATTTTTTTCAAAATAAATTATTTCTTTTTATGCAATAATTTTTTTTAATAATAAATAAACATGATGCAATTATACAAACCTAAAATATTTATGTTATCGGAGAACAATATCAAAATGTTCATTTCTAAAATTGGCAACAGACAAAAAAAAATATTGTACTTATGCAAGCGCTAGTATATAACCAAGCCTTTTTTTGTGAAATTGTTCCAAATTTTTGGCGAAAAAAAAATAAATTGACTTAATTGATAAATTAAATTATTTGTTGATAAGAGACGAACGCAAAGATAATAGATTTCATATAAAAATTATTAGCATCTGTGCAGCTGCTCCAGTTATTATTTCAAAACAACGCTAAAAGCATAATGCACGGTAAAAGTGCCATACGCGAAGAGTTTCTATAAAAAATACTAAAGATACATTTATTTTTCTCTTTTTTATTGTTTCTTTTTTATTTATGCACTTTTAGCTATGAAAATAGTATTGCAGTTCTTGCTGCTGGGATTTATGACAACTACAATTCTGTGCAGTCCATTGAACGTTGCAGGTATCGACGAAAGAAATAATAATAGCAATGAAGTAAATATGGCAAATACACAAATTGCTTCCAGAACGGTAGCTAAAAAACCGCACTACACAGTTGGTCATAATGGACGTCCCGGATGTCGCACAGCACAAGAAATAAATCGTTCATGGCGCAATAATAACGATCCGACGCGTTTCTGGTTCTGCGAGGAACTTAATAGTGAAGCTGTGGAAGTATTTTGTCCTGCTGGCGGTTACATGAATGAGTTCAGTTTGTGTGTGCCCTGGAATATGTGGGAATGGCTTCCACCACAGGATCCTCCAACAATGAGCATGGCATAAGAATTTCATGGCATATAATTGATATCCCTAAGAAAATAGTTTTATTATAAATTCATTTTTCCAATAAAAATTTTGAAATTGTAAAATGGTAAAATGGCAAATAATGTGAATATTACTAATAATTTACCACTTTTGTGGTGTTCGTGATGGCTTGTTAGTAGTTTATTGTTTCCTCCTTTTATCAGTGACTTAATTTATTATCACTTAGAGCGGTAGTTGAAATTTTTTTACTCCACTACTAAATTGAAAATAATTTAGAAAAATAAAATTTAATTAATTTCACCGAATAACTCCCTTCTGTTCCGTTCTCTTGTTCGTGTTAGGGTTTATTAAAACTTATATAGAAAAATTTCATTTCGTACTTTCGTTCATTTTGTCCTATTTTTTCTACTGGCGTCATAAATATTCTTCAACAATATGAATTATGAACCATTTATCTTCATATAGAGAATGTCAGAAAAAATAGCTAACTCAGAACTTTGAACGATTTTACAGTTCAGTTGCCCTTACAGCTAAGTTCAAAACAAAGGTTCAAATTTTTATTGCAAACAGCTTTTATGATGATCTCTACATGACGATAGATTTAATATGACTTTATTTTGGGAATAAACAAGTTTCTTTTTCATTTTCTAATAAAGCAATATTACACAAATACATTTTATTTAACACTGTTAAAGATTTTTATTTTTGATTGAAATAAAAAATATTTTTTGTTTCTTATTTTTGCTGATTTGAAAAAAAGCAATATTTAACATACATATCAAGACAATGCCCCATTAAAAAATTTTTTGTCAGTATCAATTAATATTATAAATTCCGATATAAGTTCCGTATTGTTGAGGAATGAGTTCCACCTAAACTATTGTTGTTCTTTAGGATAAAGCACTCAGTTAAGAAAATTCAACTGCACCTTGAAAGCATATGTGGTAACACTCTTCTTGCTTAAATTCAGAGTTAACCATAGTCACTATGACACTCCCTTATGGACCAAACTCATTGTCCAGCATAACCGAATTTGTAGACATTTGGTTTCTGTGATAATAGATTTAATCTCTGGCGGTGTGTTCAGGATAACCGAATTTGTAGACATTTGGTTTCTGTGATAATAGATTTGATATCTGGCGGAGTGTCGCAAGTAAAAACTTACTTCCTACCACTTACACTCCAAAATAGTGCAGGGTGTTGTCTTATAGTTTATTTGGATTCATAATTCCTCTATGTTCTAAGCATAAAATATTGAAATGAGGTTCAAATGGACCTTCTTCTTCCTTTCATATATCATTTTTAAAATGTTGTTTTATTGATTTAAAGTCTCATATGATGGCACAGGTTAGAATTTTGCCAATATGTAAAATCAATTTCAGAGCCATACCAGAACCTGATCAAATTGGATCTAAAAAAATAATATATAACGTTGTCATAAAATGTATATTAAAATTTACAAATTTATTCTCTGTGAATTCTCAAAACAAGTCTAATCCTAATAACACTTATCCATTTTGGGAACACAGTAGTTATCCCACCTAATATATAGAACGAAACCTTACCATTCAAACTGTTCTCGTTTCTTAAAAGCGATAGGATTGGATAAGACAATTGAATGTCGTATAATAGACTACTACAGTTGTGCTGTAAAGTATTCTCTTCAGACATACATTGAAAAAAATTTGTTTTCAACTCTTAGGAAAACAAATGGAATCCAATGTCTCGTTCATTGCATTAAGTGTGAAGAGAATAAATAAATATATAGAATTTTTAGTACATTATCTTAATAGAGTTTGGAGTTTATAACATATTAAGCTTCAAGATATCGTTATGGCGTTTACTTATTATAAGAATTTTATCTGACACCATCTCCTTTTTGCGGAAGTTTCTTTTAACGAATCGGCACTATAACGTCAAAAGTGTCGTATGCCTCATTTGCATGGACTAAAAATAGTCCCCCTTCGTATGCCAGACCGTTATTGTAGACTATTAAACATTCGCTAGTAGAGAAAGCAAATCTTCTATAATAATTTATAAATTTGATTTCTGATGAATCCATTGCCGTTTTTTTATATGTCTTTGCAAAAAAAAAAAATAAAAATTTGTTCCATTAAAAGTAAAGCTTTAGCACTTGTATATACTTACATAGAAACCCTTTGGCGATAATCTTGTCAGAGTGTATCTTTGCACTTGAATAACTATACATAAATCTTTTGAAATTTTCACTTACAACTACACTTGGCAATTAACGAGATACGCTTATCAGCACTTGCCATTTGCAGTGAAATCAACATTGGAAACGGTCAATTGGCTGTTTGGAAAAGTGCTTGCAAGTACTTGCAATATGTTCCCTTTGGCAAAAGTAATTTTCAGTTAAAACTGCTTGTAAGCAGCTGAGAGAATATTAAATGGAAAATGGGTGTACAAGACTAACCCCAATGAAACCCACCCTAAAAACCCAACCCATTTTCAGCTTTACAAGATATGGGAAGGTTATGTACGTACATACTGTACATACATATATCCGGATATACGTTAATTGTTGAGCAAGCACATACGAAAGCGATAAATTACGAAATTTTAAGAGAAAAAATCTATTAAAATAAAAAAAAAAATATGTATTTATAAAAAGAAATTAAAAATAAAATAAAAATATATATATAAAACAAAGTATAATCAAACTAATTACAAATTGAATTAAAGTGCTAAATGTTGTCTTATGCTTAAAGCCACACTGAATGCAAAAACAAAAATAAAAATAAAACTAAAAAAATACGCAACAAAATCAATAAAAAGGATTTGTTCAATTGTTAAATACAAATTTAAATTGGTTTTTTAACAAATTAAATTAAGTTTTAATTGCTTATATGGAAAAAGCCTGCTACTGCGTTGGTATTTGCATATATTTCTTTGCATAAAAATTGACTTTTTAACTGGTATTAACAAAGGACAGCAAAAAATTTAAATATAAAATTTATATTTTTTTTGTGCAAAATATTTAATTAATTAATTTGTTTTATGCATGTTAGTTGTTTAATTTTTTTTTTATTTTGTAGTTTTCATAATAATTGCAAACATAATTTTAAACAGGATGTTTTATAATGAAATAATTATTTTCACACATTTCATAAACAGACATTTCAACAATTCCAATTTTTGCATTAATTATGCAAATTATATACTAAAATTTTATATGCGCTTTTTTTAATGTTTAAAAAAAATTATTTTATTTCATTTAAAATTAGTTTTCATGTTTTTTATAGTCTAAAATAGAGTAAGTACCCGACAGTTTCCACAAATGCACAGCCTAAAATTATGCACTCTAAACTGAAAAAATATTTATACGTTTGTAATTGTTAAATAAAAATAACACCAGTCTACAAATTTGTTAAACTATGTCATAGTAATTGCGGTACATGCTAATTAAATTTAAGTTATTTAATTTAAATTCAAAAACATTTTCAAAGTAAAGTGCACAATTTTGAATATTTTAAATTTGATGATGAATAGAAAGTGACAGTGAACTGTGAATATATAATTCAAGAGTATAAACTCTGTAATTAACAGAGTGAGGTTAGAAACAATTATCGGAATAAAAGAAAATATAATGTTAAATCATGGATTTAAATATTGTAATATCCCTCACGCTATCGTGAGGAAAGTATCCCTCACACTAACGGAGAATATATAAACAAAATATGAGCTTCTAGAATTTAGAATTCCAGTCATTTTATGGTAGTCTAATAATACTGCAAGTCTTTGAAATATGACATTTTCTTATATTCAATAGAATTTTATTAAAAAAAATATTGCAAACAAATTTTTCTATTTAGTTTTAAATATTTAATATACTGTCGTTATTGTACCGGACACGAATTTGAACTTGCCTAATCTTCACCGATTTACGCGGAAGAAATTATTAACCATAATAATGCTCTTGTATTTTTTAGTGATAATTTTAACCTGTAAAATATACCATTCCGATAAATTTGGTATCTTGTGTGATTTGTGTGGCAACGCATAATCCTGTTGAAACCTTCATTCTCTTTCATTAAAAAGTTTGGTTGTCAGTTGTGTATGGCTTTAGGATATCTACTAAAACTTTCTACAGTAGACATCGGTATTTACCTTGATGCCGCGTTCGAAATTATCTATGAAAAGAGACTTTACCTTAATGCCACTTTCGGAAATATCTATGAATAGAGACGATCGATTGTTACGACAGTCCAACCCAATACAAACGGTGCATTTAACATCTTGTGATCATGCGAAGAACTAAATTTTTATAAGATACCTTAAATGATATGATTATTTATATATTCATATAATCATATTATATAATCATATAGATTAAGTAAACTTGAGTGAAATGTATAACACTTAAGATTACTTTATAACCACCTAGATACTTTACTAGAGTAGAAAGAGTATTCTGAAATTACGAGCGGTTTTAAATGACTTGACAAGTAAAGTATCTACCAACACTACTAAAAAAATGTTAGAATACTCTAAAAATGTTCGATTGGCCAACAAAATTTGACCGACTGAGAGTAAATCTAGATTAAATTCAATAAAATCAATTC